CACCCCTAATACCCATATTTATGGACAAAAAAACATTTTTAAAAAAGGTAAAAGTAAAAAAAACTGCAAAAACCCGGGGATTTTACAACCAGTGTGCCTTAAAACCTGCACTACTATAGCTCCAGTGGAAGCTTTTGCCATACAAGACAAGCTGCCAACCAACACTAAGGGTCAAGTCTGTCCTGTTATGTCAAGCTTTGGGTTGCATTTCTTTCTTCTTCAACAAATAACAAAATAAGAAATATTCTCATAACCACCAAGAACTACTGTTTATACCTGGTTGCAACCATTACTAGTACAATAATTATAAGTAGGAGGTTGAGCAAAGCAAGGTTTGTTCTGTTGAATGCTAATTCGTTGCGTATCCTTTACAGGGCATTGCTGAAACTATCCCTAGCATTTCTGTCTGGTTTCACTTGACAATTTTATGTTCAGTAATTGGCCATTGAAAGGTCATCTCTCGATAAAATGGTTTAAATGGAAGAGACGAAGCATCAGCATGACAAAAATGTTTTCTTTCAACGTCCGCCCATTGACCGCTGGGTCATTGCTAGAGTTAGAGAACCTATGGGGACAAATTCAAATGGATAAATAGCCCTCACCATAACCATTCAGCCGCGATGGCAGATAAATGCTGACAAATATTTAAACCCTCGGTGAGGACTGAACTTGGTCTATGTAACCAGTGCTCTAGCCACTGAGGAAGGGGAAGCTAATGGACTGCTGCACAGCGCTTAGTAAATTCATTAATGTTCGTAATTATAGCTTCGGAAGAGGCGATTAAACTTAGTTTTGTCCCGTTACACTGACATCCAAGAAGCAGCTCATTGTGTCACCTTTATGTAACAGCCTATATGAAAGTTTCAGCTTTTAAGATAATAAAACAAAAACATGTAAAACAAATTCAATTTAAAAAAACAGGGAATTTTAAAACAAATTTAATCATAACTGTTACAAAAATCAAGCCAAATCCTCATTTGTTCATGAACCAAATAGAGTTAAAATGCAGGCAATCATCTTTCAATCGCCACATTACATACAAATACAACAAAGATCTCATAAAACAAATGTCTAACATCAGTGAAACATCAGTCTTGTTTTCCCCTTAGGTTTAATGAAATGTGCCAACAACTAAAAAAAATGGAGCTAGATGACAATCAGTGGATGAGCCAATCAGTGAACAAAACAGACAGCCAGTGGTGCCTTGAATACATCATCATCACTGTTGTACTTGCTGGATCAATGTGATGTTATCACCCTTGAGCATTATCCTACCTGCAAAGAAAGATAACCATAAAATTTCACACAAAAGTCTCAACATGAATGTACCAAAAATGAAAAAGTAAAAAAAAAAAACAAGATAAAAGACTTTCTGCATTCATACCACATCAGACATATTCAGGTGTTCACTGATAAAAATACAAAACTATACGTTCAAACAGCATCCTCCCAGGGGGGGGGGGGGGGGGGCATTTGGTTATATTGTACCCTGCGTTTATCTGCATCATATAATCGCTAAAAACACAGCTTGCCCCCAAGTAGCTTTTAATAACATCTGGGATGTAATTTTTAGTTAAAGCCCCACTCTGGCTTTACACACCACGCAGGTGTGTCTAGTTAAACACACCACACGCAAACACTGACACAGTGAATCTAGCTAAACACAGCACACAGACAAACTGAATCTAGCTAAACACAGCACACGCAGACACTGACACACTGAATCTAGCTAAACACAGCACACACAGACACTGACACACTGAATCTAGCTAAACACAGCACACGCAGACACTGACACACTGAATCTAGCTAAACACAGCACACAGACAAACTGAATCTAGCTAAACACAGCAAACGCAGACACTGACACACTGAGTCTAGCTAAACACAGCACACACAGACACTGACACACTGAGTCTAGTTAAACGCAGCACACGCAGACACTGACACACTTCCGGTTAAAATGGACGCTAGACAGCGGCGCCGTTCGGAACAGAGGCAAATTTGTTGCTTCTGCCGGACGGTGGCCGATGCATTTTTGCTCCATTTGTAGACTGGATATAGTTTCGTCGCCCAGCTTCTGAGTTGAATGCATGGCGTGACCCTGTGAGCTGCGGATTTCATTTGGAATGTTTTTTTTCGACTGTGACCAACGTGGTGGTGTGAATTGTAGATTCAGAAAATGGCGCGATGCCTGTCGTTCAATGCATGCGAGACCCGTATTAAAATTGATCACGCGGACAACTGCTGATCTGTTGACGACAAGTTCTGCTATCATCAATGATGAACTGCATTTCTAATGTTGGACTGTTAGTGTTAGCACTTTGGATGGCTACCATATGCTTTAATGCGAGTGTATGCTAGATATGCTGAGACAGCAGTCTGTCAATCTTTCCACAAGGGACTGTGATAGACATTCTGAGTGTTTTTCGCTGGCACAGGAGCGGAGCAAAGATGGGGCAACCCGTTTGCTATGAAGCTGAAACTAAGACTACCAGACTACCAGACCAGACTGACACACTAAATCTAGCTAAACACAGCACACGCAGACACACTGAGTCTAGCTAAACACAGCACACACAGACACTGACACACTAAATCTAGCTAAACACAGCACACACAGACACACTGAGTCTAGCTAAACACACCACACCCAGACACAGACACACTACAAACCACACAGAGAAAGTGAGTCTACTTGATCATTCCACACCGTGAAGAGACAATACACAAAACATTATGATACTAGACAGACAAAATGACAGCAAACCTACCTAATCTCTTCCTGCTCTGTGTTTTCATGTGGACCTCCTCGGCATCATCCAGCACCAGGTTCATGTACTCGTCAAATCCCTGTTGAGCAAAAAAAAATAAAACATTGACTTCTTAAGGGTGGAAAATAGTGCTGACATAAATAATAAATCAGGAAGCAGTGGCACCCTCAACCCTGCTGGGATTAATATTGATCATTTTACCTTTTCCTCAAATTTAATTCTGCAAACTTCTCAAGTAGTCCTTACTTTTCATGTTGTTGATTGGTCCAGTAATTAGAGTGCTTGGTAAGAAGTGGAGATTTTTTTTCTATCAGGGGCAAAAATAAAACTGCACTGAACATGGCAACTGCACTAGCCAAGTGAAATTAAACCTTCATGCCTGGAGGACCCCCTCCCCCGTCAAGTCATAAATGAGGTAGGAAGACAGTTTGGTGAAAAACTGGCTGTATTTACACACGTCTTTTACCTTCCCTTCATTTAGCTTCTATTTCACTGTTCTGTGTTTATGATGGTACATCCATCATAGCTGACTGTCTCAGAGAGAATATTAATCAGACAGTTGCTTTCTCACTGAAAACATCTATCACAGACACTTACTGTTTAAAAGAGTAAAACAGAAATATCCATCGTCAGTTGCTGTCTCATTAGAAATACCTATTACAGACAGCTGCTGTCTTAGGGAGAATATCCATCACAGACAGTTGCTGTCTCAATGTGTATGATGGGTGAATCTATCACTTTCAGTTGTGGTCTCAGTGGGAACATACACAAACAATTTTTACATCAGCTGTGACACATCAATAATTTACTTTAAAGAAATAATTTTTCGCCTTCACAAGCTGTACTGTAAACTCCAGCTGAGTTAAGATTGATTGTACACTTATCTTCTTCTTCTTCTTTGCTTTCACTAGCTGTACACTCTGGCGGAAAGTTCTGGTTGCTCATCCACTACTGAACTGCAGTCCTGCTCCAGAACCTGAGAGTTGCACGTGCATCAGTTTTACAGATCTCATTCTCTTGAATACAGACTGTTGGTTCCTTGCCTCTCTGACAGATGCACTCCAACTTCAAAGGAAGCTCCCCAATTAGTCGACTCTTACGACACGCTTTTGGGGAGGCAGTGGGTCTATTTTTGTTTTCCCCACAATGGGGCCCCGGAACCCACACGGGGGTGTCCACTTATAAACTTTCATCTTGTTCCAGAACTTTAGTTTTACGTGCACACCTGTTTCACAGACCTGACTAACTGATACAGACTGATTGTGAACTCTCCCTGAGGAATGTAAACAGATCCTCTGCTTTACTTTCCAAAAGAGAAGGGAAAAAAAGACCTAACCCAATAAGCCCTAGCATTTTTCAGAAAGACTTCTATAAGCCCTACCCCAAGTTAAGATTATCAGCCAGATTTCGTGTGGCACCAAACATAACTGAATTAAAATGTAATGAATGTATAAAACAACTATTTTAACAATACTGACATTCATGCTTTATATAAATAGCAAAGTAAATTTTGATTTTTGTACATGAAAAATAAGAACTAAATTAGACACTAAGGCATCATCTTTTACGGCAAAAATATCAGATTTAGTCTTATTTTAGGAGAAACGATATAAATGATCTTATTTACTTTGAGAAACTTACCACAATGCATCCCTCAATACGCAAATTAATCTGTTCATACAACCACACTTGAACTCGTGACCTCTGAAATGGTAACACAATTATTAGCAAAGAACTACAAACTTTAAGGAAATGCAGAATAGGTTGTATTAAACTGGAGAAGCAAAAACAAACAAATAAGGATGTTCTGAAGAGATGAAATGAAAAGTGAGTAAATAAATGAAATAAAACTGACAAGTGAAATATGTTGGCCACAGTAAAAGACAACATTCTTATATTTAAAAAAAAACATACGGAAAGGAAAAGAAGTGAGCAAATGGTGAGCAGCGATAACAAGTGGGAAAATATCAAGAAATGGACAATGGTCTCATAGTGTAAAACCAGGACAAGCACTGGAGATCCATTACTGTCAACCTTTATTATTGAGATGGCTCTTGATTTAAAAAAACACACTATGTTAATACTTATTAACGACATTAAACTCCAGCAGTAGGCTCTGGTTGTTTACCCACTTCTAGACTAAATTTTCCTGAACTAACAAAACAAGGAATATGTGCACTGTGTGCATAATTAATGTAACAAGTGTGGTAGGAAGTTTACTGTGATCATCAAGGAGTATAACATCTAGAGGTTGACAGAGGCAGTCTCATAGTGTCTACATCTAGGATAAAAGACAAGCTGTGTTATAGATCCGGTGCTGCCAACCTAGTGTTGAAATGGCAACTGACTGTTGTGAACTTGATTTTTCATTTCAGCTGTGCCTTCTCATTTTCTTTAATAAAATGAAATTTTATGTTTTACAAAATTATTGTTTTAAAGCATATAGGTTTGTACATAATAAAAAAAATGTAGTATAACTGATGATGATACTTACATTCTGTAGGTACCTGAAGATTAAATTCTGTGCATCTGGTTAAGGAAGGTAAAGTTACAGGGCTTATTTGTGAGAAATAAGCCAAGGCATATTAACAATGAAAACATTAACACAAAAAAACATTGAAAAATAAACTAAAAATTTAATTTTTTTAAATGAGACCTGAAACCAGTCAATGAGTCATAAAATACAGTTTGTTAACTCTTTATGGACTGGTCGCCACTTAAGTGGCTTTTGAATCCATCCCGTCCAACTATTCACCAATACAGTGGCGCTTCATAGAGACACTGATACTGTTTCGATAGCCGGGAAAATTTGTATGAATATGTTTTGAAAAACTAGAATTAGCTAAATGAAGTCCTTTCGATTTTGAAGTTCAGCACAGTGTTTGCGTCACTTTCTGATTTATTTTAAATTAATTAGATGAGATACACAATGTTTTTTCCCATACTAAATTATAAGGGCAAAGATCCAGAACTGTTTATACTACTCTGACGTTGATTAAACTCAGCCAGATAGTGGTACCATTCACACCCAGATGTACAAACGAGGAACAGCCTACAATAATCGAACAAGAAGTCAGAGAAGCAATCAGATGCAGTCCCAAAAATAAGGCATCAGGTGTTGATGGAATATCAGCCGAGGCAATACAGGCTTGTGGAGAAATTGGAGTCACCTGGCTACTCCACATATTTAGGAAAGCCTGGAATGAAAGAACTGTACCAATAGACTGGCAAAGAGCCCTTTTAGTCCCAATTTGGAAAAGAAAAGGCAATAAGCAAGATTGTAACAATTACAGAGGCATCTCCCTTCTAAGCCACGTAGGAAAAATGTTTGCCAAAATTCTGGAACAACGAATTAGATCCGTTGTAGAACCGATCCTGAGCCCATCACAGGTCGGATTTAGGAAAGGAAGAGGGTGTACTGACGCTATTTTTGCTTTAAGACAAGTTAGCGAAAAGACAATAGAACACAGACATCAAATTAACATCGCTTTCATAGATCAAGAAAAAGCTTATGATAGAGTAAACAGAAATTTATTATGGAAAGTTCTTGAAAACTACGGTATAAATGGAACAATTTTAGATTGTGTTAGGGCTATTTATAGACAAAGTAAAAGCGCCATTAGAACAAGAGCTGGCATCACAGACTGGTTCCCAGTAACATCAGGAGTAAGACAAGGTTGTGTATTATCACCTTTACTTTTCATAATATTTATGGACAATATTAATAAAATAGACATAACACCAACAGATGTCGATAAACAGGAGGACTTCAATGAGCTGCTCTTTGCCGACGATCAATGCATATTTCACAGTGATAGTAAACAGCTGCAAGACCACATAAACCTACTACACGACAGTTGCCTCAAGCATCATATGAAGATCAATACTGAAAAGACAGAAGTCATGAGCATAAGTAGAGAGCAACAGACCACCGACATAAAGATTCTAGATCACAGCCTAAAACAAGTGCAAGAATTTAAATACCTGGGAAGTATCTTTACATCCAATGGTAAAATAGACAGAGAGATCGAAGCAAGAATCCAACAAGCCAACAATGTCGCATACCAGCTTGCCCCAATTTTAAAACACCCTGCTGTCCCAGCTGAGATAAAGAGACAAATTATAAATACAATCTTTATACCGACATTAGGTTATCAATGTCAGCCTTTGACATTAACAAAAGAACACGAGAGAAGACTAACCACCTGTGAAATGAGATGTTTGAGAATGGCTGCGAATAAAACCAGAAGAGATCGAGTGAGAAACGATGTGATTACAAGAACTATTGGAACCATACCCATCGTTAAATTTATTGAGAAGCAAAGAATGAAATGGTTTGGTCACCTAATGAGAATGGAACCAACGATGCCAGCATCAAGAGCATACAACATGAAAATCGAAACAACAAGAGGGAGGGGAAGATCAAGAAGAAGATGGATTGAAGGAGTCACGGACAACTTGAGACTTCATAACATCACGGCATATGAAGCGACTGAGCGCGCCCTGGCTCGGTTGCCGATCATCTGATAGACTGCGACGCCTAGCGACACAAGCAGATTTTGACAAAAGAAGAAAGATAGTGATAACTGTCTTGATAATATGATTGATAATGAATGCATGTGCCAAACATATTTTTGATAATTTAGGTTAGGATGAAGATCGAACAAAATATTTTAATATGATCATCTCTGTTTCAATCAGCTGTTTTTCCAATTTTGGTTGTGAAATCTAACATGTCATACTTCCAAAGTATTTAAATTATTCGTCTCAAATAAAGATTAAGTGATACAAAATTGAATACAGAACGCACATGAATTCCTGAAAATGGATAGCAGTGTTGCTGAACAAGTAGATAGTACGGTAAAAAGCACATCATTTTTTTTGTATAATCTTTATGTGTGCCAGTCTAATACCCTTGAATTTTGTGTTCTATTAACATATTTTGTTGCCTTACTGACATTTAAACAGTTTAGATTTTAACGAAGAAGACACAAGCAACAGATTGCAGTTTATTGCCTGGCATATTTCGCGGTATCTCATCAGATGCATACTACAGTAGTAATTAATTAAATTGAAGCAAATAAAAAAAACCTAATTAGGAGAGAACTAAACAGGCTCCAGTGGACCAAGAGGTGAGGAAAAGACGCTGGCGTTTGATAGGACACACACTGAGAAAACAGGAGAACAGCATAACTAGAATGTCTTTGCATTGGAACCCACAGGGGCATAGGAATAAAGGAAGGCCCAAAAAAACACGGAGAAGAGAGCTGGAGAATGATGGGGAGGACATTGGGAGAGCATGCAATGGCGAAGGATAGAACGACTTGGCGTGAGTTGGTTGAGGGCCTATGCTCCATTGGGGAATGGAAAGGCAGAAGAAGAACTGAAGCACAAATTTGACTACATTCTCACACTGTTTCACAGAGTTAACCGCAAAGTATCGAGCATTTCCTTCTGTCTGCATAATTCTTGATTAAACTGGCTGATCTTCAGTTTAAAGGTTTCATTTATTTGCTTCATTTTAATTTTTAAAAACTGGCTATTCTCTGAATAACGTTCCCAAATTATTGAGGCCAAAAATATACCCTAACAGGGCCTCAGTCACGTGTCAATTGCGGACTTATATGTTTGCGGACGAGAAAAAAAAAATTAAGGAAGCTGCAAGAGATGTGGTAGCTGCTGCTCGTGAGTCCCAGCCATCTAGTTTAGCCCCAATCCACGTCGTTCATGCGGCTTGGGGGATACTCTCAGCGGTGGCAGAAGTTGCCAGAAGCGCGCAATGTAAGTAGCGACTACGGACACGCCCCCGGCACGTGACCTTTGAATAATGATGACGTCACCGATCTAGCAAAAATGTGCTTACGGAAAATTTCGGCGTGATTCGGGGTGCCCTAAATTCGTTTGAAAAGCACGCTAGATCACGGGGTTTCCCTAGCTATAAATAGCTCGAACGTAAGACTTGACGTTCAGTTGCGAGCACATGGTAAGCTGAATCTGTGGTTGTCTGTATGTTTTCGCTGTTCCGTTGTGAATATATACGTAAGTTCACTATATCAGTTAAAGACTTTAAGGCAAGCCTCATAAATTTACTAGGAATAATTAGATTCAGCATCCATTTATCTATTAGTGTGTAAATTTTCAGCAATATTACTAATCGGACTAATTCACAGTACATTTTTTAGAAGTGTCACTTGAAAGTTCATTTCTAGTCGCACGCCAGTCTCCATTTTGAAACTCGCGAACATAAACATTCATAGTCAACCGGACTTTAACTTCGTTAACTGTAAGCTATTGCATCTCCTGCAACTTCCTCCAATTAATTTGCTCGTGAGTCCCAGGCATCTAATTTAGCCCCCCATCGGCGCGGTGCAGGGATACTGTCGGCGGTGAGTGTAACCGCGTTTTGCGCATGCCAAAAAGTTTGAGGGCAACAACAACGCTAATCTGCGTCGGCGCACGTGGTCTCCCCGACATGTCGCTTTTATCGTCAGTAATGTTCCGTGTCACAAAATTGTCAATGATCGCTATTATCGTCTGCAGAATCGCTCGAAATTGTCAACGGTTATCGCCTGCTACTGTCGTCTGCAATGTTGCGTCTCTTGAAATTGCCAAGTAGTAGTAGTTCTAGATTTGCCGCGATTTGTTCCTTGGCAAAAAGTCCGCATTTTACATATGCCTGGGCACTGTAAGGATATTTGTTCGGCCGCCATAATATTGGGTAGAAGTTCGGAGGGGATAGCCTAGCTACTACAGTTTCGGAAATTGGCGATCTTTTCGACAATTTCCGTTACCATAGAAACTTGTTTCGGAAATGTCGGCTGGGGTTTCGGGATGGGTCCTAATCTCTTATGAAATTTTACCATTGGTGTGATTTTCACCCACTCTAAATAGCTGAAAACGGCGGGAAGGAACTCGATTAACAGCGCATGTCTACGACAGCCGGACATTCTCTGTTTTTCTGTTAGTCTATCAGTTTGATTGAAAATAGCGGTAAATTCGAGGTTGGTTTAGGCCTTAAACATTACCAGATGTGGTACTGCTAGTTACAATTGAATTCTCCGTCCAATTTTAGATTTGCATATATAAATTTATTTCCCGTCTTTGGCTGTTTAGATTTACAGTGACATTTTTCAGGCAATCGCTTGCGGCTGAGTGAGCTGAGTCTCACTGCCTGCCATCTTGTCCAATGACAGTCCAATGTCAACAAAGCCGATACAGAGCTGCGCAGTAGGTTGCGCAGACTGCGCAGAAAAAAACTTCTTGTTTCTGGGTCACAAGTTTTAGCGGCTGTTTCTTACATCTCATCTCCACAAAAACCTACATATCTCAGCTCAGAAATGACATACAAGCCTAAATGAGGTACCATTGGAAAGAGATTGTTTACAGCTATCTAACTGTGCTGGTTTTATTGGTGTAGAGGGCATTTTAAAAATTTGACTGAAGTACCTAGATAGCCAAAAATTTTTAATGGAGCTGAACAATGTCAATTTAAAACACAAAAACAATTAAATGAGATTTTGTAACATTCATAAAAGATCTTACTGCGAAATAAAACAAACACGCAAAAAAAAAAAAAAAACTATCACCGACAAATGAAACTGAGGCAGAACTGAATAGATTCTAATTTTGAGCACTCTAGTAGAGTCTCTACCATTATGCCGCCATTACAAATTATCGGAAACGGGTTACCGGTAACATAACAATTTCAGACCAAACATTCATCAATTAAACATTTTTAAAAGGATACAATTGGCTGCACCATAACTTTCTGAACCTTCTGTCCGCCAGCTTTGTATGCCATTGTAGAAATTTGATATGCGTGCTTCAACGAGGCTTAAAGAAACGATTCGAACTGTAAACAATGCACGCTAAGAAATGTACCGGAAATAAGGAAAGAAACATGGCGGCTGCATGCAGACAGGGCGCCTTTCTTCTCTTATACACAGTTCCGGTTCTAAACACTTTATTATTATTATTATTTATTATCATCATCTTCACCTGCTACTGCTTCTTTTCTTTCTCCCGTTACAAAGTGAAGTGTTGAATTAATGTTATGAGACCCCCGTGTGGGTTCCGGGGCCCCATTGTGGGGAAAACAAGAATAGACCCACTGCCTCCCCAAAAGCATGTCGTAAGAGTCGACTAATTGGGGAGCTTCCTTTGAAGTCGGAGTGCATCTGCCGGAGAGGCAAGGAACCGACAGTCTGTATTCAAGAGAATGAGATCTGTAAAACTGTTGCACACGCAACACTCAGGTTCTGGAGCAGGACTGCAGTTCAGTAGTGGACGAGCAACCAGAACCTTCCGCCAGAGTTTACAGCTGGTGAACGCGAAGAAGAAGAAGAATGTTATGAGAGATGAACATGGCAAAGACGATCACAGTGACAAACAAGAATCACTATCTTAACAATTTCTTCTTCTTTCGTTCGCATTGTTTACAATTTGATTACACTGGAGTTCTAACTGAAGCAGCCGAACATGCTCAGGGAGTGAGATGCCCATTATTGCGGGGATCCCTAAAAGGCGCAGCCTGTAATGAGTGGAAGGCTCAATATACTGATGTGAGATAAGGTAGTTTTGTGCAGAACATGGCGATTCCATGGGTGAACCAAGTACTAGAAATTTTTGTGTCTTCTCCTTCTTCTTCTTCTCTTCTACCTTGTACCTAGGCGAAGTGTCGGGTAAGATGTGACGCTAGCTGATGAGCTCTGTCTATAGCACTATTGAGATTGGTGCTCACTCCATATTGTCCGAGGTCTTCCACTCGCTCTATACCCGTTGTAACGTTTCAGGGTGGCTCGCTTTATTCGATAGTACCATGGCATTTTTGTTAGGTGTCCAAACCACTTCATTTGTTTTTCCTTAATGATCTGTAGGACTTTCTCTATACCCGTTGTAACGTTTCAGGGTGGCTCGCTTTATTCGATAGTACCATGGCATTTTTGTTAGGTGTCCAAACCACTTCATTTGTTGTTCCTTGATGACCTGTGGGATTGGCTTTATTCCTAGCATTCGTCTGATTTCTTGATTTCGTATTCTGCCTTTCCTTGAAACTCCTGCAGCTCTTCTAAGGCTGAATGAATCATGTCTATCATTACGGTCTGGAAAGAATAGCGCTGCGAGGAGTTACAAGGAAATCTGACCGGCGCTCAGCACTCAGGGGAAAGGCGAGACGGATATACAATCAGACAGTAACTGGTGCCATCAGAATTCGAAATCTTAGCTTGCTGCTGAAGATGGGGACGGCGCGCTTATGGGGGTGTCCCGAGTGCTGTGATGTCGACTTTTTAATTCAAAATTACAAGGCATTCTTTCTCTGTTGTCACAATTGGAGGATGTAAGTGTCCATGTTTGGCACTGATAACATTGTATCTTGTATCGGCTCTGAATTTTATTAAGCCTTCTTGGATCGCAGGGAAAGTCCCAGGCACTACTCCTACACTGCAATCAGCTCGTGGCTGTCCTGGACGAATCCTCAAGCGATAATACCAGTGGATCAGGAATGAGGAAGCCACCGGGCACATGAGGCTAAAAATGTCCCACGAAAGTAGCCAGATATTCAGGGAGAAAATTTTCTTTAAATATATGGATAAAGGAAATATCATCATCATGTAGCAAGTCCCTTGCAGAACGTCGCTCTCATCACGGTCTGCCTGAAAGAAACTCGGTTTCTCGCCAGCTCTCCCGCCTCGTGTACTTTCAAATACGAGAAGATACTTTCATCCTGTGCCCATATTCGTGTTGTTCGGTCCTGCCTTTCCTTCATGGTACCGAGCCTTCTGCTATTTTTTTTTCCAATCCGTCTGGGGCTTGATATGACCAATATATTTCAGTTTCCCAGACAAGATGCTGTTTATTAGCCAATCTTCTTTAATTTTTTCATCTTTTGAAATATCATTATTACAGAAATATAAAAAAATTTGAAGACAAAATAAAGAATGGGTTTGCAAAATCACATACATTATCTATAGTCATCTAAAAGGGTCTAAGTTATAAATAAAAACATATTCTGGAAAAGGGGGGGGGGGGGTTAAAGTGTATTAAAGTAAAATTGCATTAAAGTATATTATAAAAAAAAGGAATTTGTTGTCCAGCACTAGCTGATAACGTGAATATCGCAGCTCTGTTGTAAACCGGAGAAAAAAACATATTTACGTCACTTGGATAAACGATGAAGAAGAAAAATGGGTCGGACCCAGGGTTGCCAGATAAAAGATACTTGATTTAAACTGACACAGGGTTCAATTTTAACAGATTGTTAAATATATTCTCGGTGTGAAGTCTATACGTAATTTGATCGAGAGCTTTTTCTAGCATCTTCTAGCACAGACATGCATCTTTCTTGAACTTTGTTTATTTCTACCTGAGCTTCAGTCCCGTTATTCTTCTGTAGGAACGCATTAAATTCCGTTATTAATTCAATACCAAAGTCAACGTGATGAATAACTTTTTTTGTTTCTGCTCATTGACATCATACATGTTAAAATTTTCTGGTGCATGGACAATTCTTGGTGTAGTTCATGAGGATCAGCTTTTGTTTGTTGAAAAGAACTGTTAAGTCTTTCAAATTCTCGTACAATTGATGTGGCAAACACAAAGTACAAATAATTATTGTGATATAACAGCATTTCCTTTAACAATCTTACTTTATATTTTGTGTCAAACGTTGTCTGGGCTTATTCAGCACATGTGAAATAAGCTTTTAATTCTTCCAAGTTCACAAACATATTGAACATAATCTTTACATGCACAAGCCACCTAGCAGATGACAGTTTCTCAAATGGAAGAGTGTCGTAAAATGATAAGCCCTTACGCATCAGTCTGTAAGACTGGTAACCTAACTTACCTGTAAATCTTCACAAAATTCAAACTTGGACTCGTCCAGAAAGATATAGTCCCTTATATCTATATATATAGGCCTTTATTGGACAACATTATTATATCTACCTTTTCTGGGTGCTTTAACTAAACTCCACTTTTAAATGTATATATCTTTGATATATATTAAGGGAGTTATTTGAGGTTTCGTGGAAACCGATTTACTCCTTGCCCATGTATACTAGGGACTTCTTTTTGTACCAACGCCTGAAGTGTCTAAGTGACGCTATTCTCTCTTGCCGGCCCAAGCGTCCAGACGTGTCAATCTATGCCTGTATAATTTCAATTTTCAAGGCGATCTGGAATGTTTCAGTTTTTGCATATGCTTGGGATAAATCCTTTGTGAGGAGCTGGCAGAAGTTTCACAGTCCAACCAACACCCACCAACCATCAACCAACCATAAACCCATAAACCATAAACCACCTACCCACCAGCTAACACCTGTGAAGGTTCCTGACATCTCCAACATGTGGGAGATTGCACCTCAAATAGCCTACCAGTGCTAGAGCTTAGGGTAGCTCAAAAACAGTGTTTGTCTACTTGGTGATAGAGACTTGCTAAGTACCAGTGCAGTATTGTGTCCTCTATGGTGAGGTACTCTCTGACTACTTGATCCAGTGGAGCAGAATTCCCAGAGTCAAAGACAGTCGAATCATCCGGAGCGGAGGGAGGCATCATAGACAGGAAGAGGAAGCTAAGTTTGAGGCTTCATGTGCTTTTTTTACATCACAGCTCCTATGTTTCCCAATGATGACAATGTGTCATCTCCAGGACCTTCTGTCTGTGTAATTTTGGTGATCTAGACATTGTATTCTGGAATCCAGCTATAGAAATCTGGCATCTGCTTCTCTATATTTTTAATGTATATATATATATATATATATATATATATATATTACTGATTACATGCATTCATTTTCATGGCTGACTTAGGTTTCTCTATTTCACCTTTTTAAGTGTTCAGCAGTTGTGTGTGTATGTATCTTCATTATATGTGTTAACATGGTTATGATAATGACCTATCATAACCTGGGGGCTTTCTTTAGTAAGTAGTGGGGGTGTCCAGCCAAGTGTGCCTATAAATATTGTATTCATATACTGACATATTTTGTAGTGCCAATACTTGAGTTGCCCTACTCCAGAGATAAGTTGAGCGTATATTGGCCACGGGGAATCCCTTAGACCAATACGAGCCAAACGACTTAACATAATTATCTCTGAGTGCTGTTGGTTCTGAAGGAGAAATCCTTACATTAGGCACGCGACAGGAGTGATATGTGACAGAACAACATATCCCCAAAAATCTGGGAGCTCGTCCGGGATTGTTTGTGTACACTGTTCAATCTTTAAATTTGCTGGTGATCTTGGCCAGGAGTTGTTCAGTGTTTGTTTTTTGTTAACACAGTTGTGACCATTCTGGGTCAGTTCTTAGATTATACTCCTAGGAGTGATTTGTAATCATTGTGGTGTTTTGTGGTGTCTAAGTACATTGGGTTAGGTACATCCTTGGTTGGTGGTGATAATTTAATCTATTGTTGATTATATTTACATTGTTGGTGACAATATATTTTGTTGTGGACTGTTAGATTGACAAGACAGTATGTCGCAGTCAAAAATTTCCATACAGGAATTGAAGGACATGGCTGTCCAGATGGGATTGGAGGGTAAAGAAATGACCGAGTGGATTAAAACCACGGAACGTGAGATGAGGATGGAAGCCCGTGAGGCTGAGAGACTCAGAATTGAGGCAGAGAAGGAAAGCGAAAGACTCCGAATTGAATCTGAGAGACTCAGACTTGAGTCTGAGAGGGAGTCAGAAAGAATGAGATTGGAACAGGAGTCAGAAAGAATGAAGTTGGAACAGGAGGTGAGGTTAAGAGAATTGGAACTTCAGGCTCAGAGAGAGGGTAATAGACCCAGAT